TTAACCCATTCCAACTAATGTTATTTTAGCTCATTCAACTTACATAAACTATCCTTAATTTTATCGGTTGAATTTCAACCGCTGGGCGAACACTAGTTGCTTTAAATTGTTGGACTATCTTTGGTCTATTTAAATACAAAACTACTATACCTACGACTATAATTTTCGAGCAATTGGACCAAGCTTTCCTTCAGGGTATACTCTTACACATGGATCGCATATACGAGTTTGTACATAATTATGTATGTACGTAGTCAGTCTTTTGGAGCCCAACAAGCCAGGATTGACACTCGTCGGTTGTAAAACATAAAATTTCAAATACAAGCAAGTGACTTTATTGTATTATGTACGGCACAATGAATTGTTGGCAGTAGTCGTTATAACTCGCCTGAAAAGCTAAATGAGCTCAACAATTCCCGTGATTCAGAAAGCGAAAACAAATAAAAGTTGATAGCGATATTGTACCGCAGGGGTGGAATGAATGTGAAAAACGAATGAGTAACGTAGGCTTGCATTAATTTTGATACAAGTTATAGGCAGTTTTTGCCAAAATATTGAGCGTGTTGCTTCTCCTAGGGGTACGGTTTAGTTATTTGTACAATGATTTTAGATCGTTGTGCCCAAACGCATGACCCGAATCTAAAAAGTTTAATATAAACATGTAGCCAAAGAATTAAACTTTTCATTTAAAACAAATAACCACGCCTACCTCCCATATAACGGTAATTTTCAGAAATACGAAAACTGCGATATTTCAGTAACTACTGAAAATTATTCACTCACAATAGATATTTACAATAAGTTTCAGACGAAAAATAAGAATATTATAAATTTTTGGAAAATGGGCGTAGGCATGCCAACTTATGGTTACATGTGTATATCTTGGTAAACGCTGCACCAATTTTGGCCTTGCTACAACATACCAAATGGCCGAAAATTTTAAAATCGGCCAGTAACAACGCGCACATCCCATATAACGGTAATTTAGAGAAATACGAAATCTTCGATAAATCAGTAAATATTAAAGCTGATTTATTCAAAATTGATGCTTGCAACAATTCTTTACCAAGAAATACGTTTATGATAAAATTTTGGAAAACGGGCGTGGCACCGCCCACTTATGATCACATATGTATATGTATCTCCGTAACCGTTTTACCAATTTGTGCCAAACTCGGTATTGTTATTGTGCTTACCACATAGAAGCAAAATGTTGAAAATTATTTAAATCGGACTAAAATTACGGCCGCTTTTCATTTAACTGTAAATTTCAGAAATGCTTGAAACCTCAATATTTCGAAATTTAAGGACGCAAATTAACTCAAAATTTATGCCCCCGGCTTACCATGTAGCTTTCGGAAAGGTGAAAAACATATAATTAATACTTGCGCCGGGCATTTAATGGTCGGCTCTGCCCGAACTTAGACTTTCTTACTTGTTTATTTTTATTTTTGTTTTTTGGTTTTTATTTGTGAAAAAGCATCTGTCAGGTGAAGAACAAAAGCGTGTACAAACGAAAAAATATATCAACAATGCCATTAGGTTTGTTCCACACGAGCTCGCGGGTGCCCGCGAATGCCCAAAACAGCCCAGAAAGCGTTCCTCACGCTAGAAAAATGGGTAATAGAGAGCGAATATCTTCCACTTTTGGATCGTAAAAAAGTCCTGACTGTTTCGGGCACGAAATTGGTTTTCTCCTTTCCTCACGCTCTGCACTTTTGGCACGGCTAAACACATTTTTGACCATTGTGAGAGAGTAACTTATTTTTACGCTCTAATTACCGAAACAGCCCGGAAAGTATGTGGAACAAACCTAGTATTTTTCAGTCCCATAGAATTTGTTTTGATAACTTTTGATTTTGAAATTTTAGCAAAAGTCGTTATAAACATGCGTGGGGTGCATGTAATAGACTTGAATTGATATGAAAAGTAATACGTATATGTATGTATGTATGTATGTGGGTATATGAATATCGATCGCTTAAAACGGATCTCAAATTTGTATTTACGCTGTAGAAATTTTAGGTCTATGTTATGTAGTTTGACTATTACGTATTGTCAATTAAATGTAATGGCTTGTATTGCAAAAGTTATCAAAACAAATTCGATGGGACTGAAAAATATTATTTTCTACTTTTTAGTTCACAGTGGTTGTTTGGGGGCTTGCACAAGATTATTTATAGAATAAGAAATCGTGTAAGACTCTTCGTCAACGTGAAAAATTAAAACAATGGGTATGTAGATACTATCAGGCCGATTCTGAACAGGAACTCCCTGGGAGTTTTGCCTCTTTTCCCTTTCCCCTATCATAAATAAAAATTCGCTGCGGATTTTTTATATTAAATGACGGAGTTGAGCTGTCAAAAATGTATCAAACAGCTCTTGCGAGGTTTGAATTTTCTCCTTCGAAATTTTCGGGGAAAATGCTACTACGTGGGAGTTAACTATTGGAGGATTTCTTTCTCGGGTGAAACAAATTCCCGGAGAACAAACTCCCTGGGAGTATTCAGAATTGGGCTGTATGAATGTATGTATGTATGTCAAAGCGAACTTTCTGATACTACTTTTTGTCTATTTCCGCGGTGCACGTATGTAGGAAATTTCACTTTCAACTGTGTAACCAGACATTTGTATGCACATAAAAAAATTAATGACTTGAAAAATATAATAAAAATTAAAAAGTTAAATTAAAAAATTAAAATTAAAAGTTTACTTCTAGCGAAGCAGTCAGTGGCACTGTGAATATTCTTCGAAATTATAGAGAAAATGCTGACACACATTTTTCTGATATATTTTTAAAAGTTACCGACATCGCTAAGGAAATGGATTTTGACATTGTGCTTCCTCGGAGAGCGAATAGACAAAATTGTCGGGCTAATTATCAGGCGTCTACCGCTGAAGATTATTATCGAAAGGCAATATTTATACCGCTTTTGGATAATATTTTGCTCGATCTCTGAGAAAGATTGCCGAAAGAGACATTGAACATTTTTGGTTTGAACTTATTACTTCCATCTAAAATTGGGGAATATAATACGCCTCACGAAAAAAATAATGCTATCGAACGCGTAAAATCGCTTGGAAAACGATACGAACTTTTCTAAGAAAAAGACGGTATCAATTTGGAAAGAGAGTATAAAGTGTGGTTGGAACGATGGACAAATAAGGAAAGCGAAAAGCCATTCCCAAAATCAGCAGCAGAAGTTCTTAGTAAATGCGACGAATATGCTTTTCTATTGATTAACAAACTTCTCCGCATTCTGGTCACACTTCCAGCTAATAACGCTACTTCCGAAAGAAGTTTTTAAACCCTTCGACGGTTAAAAACATGGTTGCGTAGTACCATGAATGAAGAAAGACTGATAGGTCTAGCACTTTTACACGTACACTTAGATATTGAAATTGCCACTGAAAGGATAATAGAAAAATTCGCAAAAGGAAAGCGCAAAATTCAATTTGCAGTTTAAATTATTACAATAATAATTCTGAATAAGTTGTTAAGTTACTTAATTACATCCTTTATTTTACCAACATTGTAAGCAAGAAATAAGTATTTATGTATAAATGTATTGCATTAATATACTCAAGGTATAACTTTACATCTTGTGTGTGTTTTTTTTTAAATAGTACAAGCAAATGTTTTATTAGACCTTGCACCTAATTCACAAAATGAAAAGTAATATTATATCACAAAACACTTTACTTCACACTTCGTAAAAAATACTCGAACCTATATTTCCATGAAAAATAAATTAGGGTTAGATGCCTGTTATTTAACGTTATTTGACAAGTTGATTGCCTCTAACACGCAAAACAAAAAACCTATACATACGTTTACATGCAAAAGGTCTGCACAGACCTGGTTGAACCTCCTAGGGTTAAAAAGTAAAATGAGCCAAAATGTTCTAAGCAAAAATAAAGTAAAAAGAGCCGCACAATGCTAAGCAAAGGGCCGCATTTGGCTCAAAGAGCCGTAATTGCCCACCATTGCATTATATCAATTGCATCTTTACTATCTGTATATTTCTTCATATCGTACACCGTCTTCAAAAGATTCATAACTCAAAATAATACGTTTGTCAGAAAATGCGAAAAACTATTTCTTAGCACAAAAACAAAACTTTTCTCCAGCTTTTGCTGAAAGGTAAATAAAAGCTCTGTGTACATTTTTAGCGCATAATTTCAAAAATGCCAAATTTTGAGTTGTGGCTCTTTTGAAGACGGTGTAGGATATAGTCCCTTTGAATAAAGAATTTGTTTGAATTCCATTAATATTGTTTAATATATACTGCAATTTTAATGAAGCCATGGTTTATTTTGAATATTTGGGAATATTTGACGACAAGATTTTCCTTTGGTCAGAATTTTATGTGAATAAAATTCTCCCATTCTTCATTTATTTCATTTTTAATATCTATATAGCATGTTTAATATACCATAAAAAAGTTAATTCATTGTCTATTGTGTAGATCAGTGGAATCTGCTTTATATGTTTAATTCTATTTTTATACAAAAAAACGCATTTCAGATGCTTTTCCTACTACCTTTTCACAAAAGGGGATAACATGGTTACCCGCTTTCTCTTTCCTTCTCAAAGGCAGTCGATTGACACAAATATAAATATTTATCCAACCTTGAATTATTGAATCATGTCACGCCCGGTTGCCCTCAGCTCGATTGGCGCAATCTTGTATTCTATCCAGTATGACTAGATCATCGCAAAAAGCAAAGCTAAATTCGTTTTTAAAAAAGGTTAGAACAAGTTATACGCTATGAAAATTGAAGTTAAAAAGAAGTCAGTATATTCATTCCTTAAAAACTCGATACGTTCCGCAAATCCGATTTTCTGTAAATAACTTCTTAAATAATTCTCGTTAAAACACAGGCCATTAACGGCTACATAACTTCAAAATATGCCAAAAAAGTTTTGGATAACTAAAATGCAAAAATTTTAATATTTTTTACATCTAGTACACAAGTAGTACGCCAAAACTCAATTTCCAAATATAGCAAAATCCTTAGTATTGTTTTTTAAAAAGCGGAGACAGTATTTTCTCAAAGAACCTTGCACAGTAATTGTAATATTTCAACGATAAATAGTAGTTTTAGAAATATTGAAGCTTTTTAGGAAGCTTAGGTACTTATTTTTAACCGACTTCAAAAAAAGGAGAAGGTTACGAATTCATCGGAATATTTTTTTTTATGTATGTTACCGCATAACTTTGGACCACATAAACCGGGGTCGAATTGTGTGTTACGAGAACGAAACGGCAATCGTATAAAAAAAATTACGTGACGTGTCGTACGAATGATTAAGTTGGAATTATGGCATACGTTCGGATCGTAATATAACCCGCTATGTAGTAGATTAAAAACTTTTTGTAATAGAATATTGTCAAAGAAATGTCACTTAGTGTGTTATTTAAATACCTACTTGTAAGCAGAAAAATATTAAATATTGGAAGAGACATAAAAATTTACGCTGAGTTATTATTTTATTTGGAATGTTCTTCTGAGGAAAATGACGGGAATGAACAACGTCTTATAAGAAGACGTTTGAGAGACAAAAACAATCCGCTTACATTGCCACAAAAAGCGTACATTTTTAAATATGTATGTAGTCTCCTATGTTTTCAATTTAGATTTTGATTTAAGATTCATCAAGAGATTTCGTCTCAACAAGGATGCATTTCATTACGTTTTGCAAACTATTGACTTCCATGGCAAATCTTCTGTAGCTGTGCCTCCTATGCTTCAATTGGCAGCAACGCTTTCTTTTCAGGAAGTGGTGGTTTCCAGCATTCGGTACGCAACGACTATCTTATTGGAATGAGTCAAAGTTTGGTATCAAAAGTCATATCAAGGGTGCTAAGGGAAATGGAAGCGAAATTATGAACAAAACATATAAAATTCACTCCTGAAAATTCGACACCTTGTATGGAGTGGTTCTACGAAAAATACAAAATACCCAGAGGTGAAGAAGTGAAATACATGGCATTGTTTTCTTGGTAGCTTTTAATATTTTTATTCCTTTTAGTTATTGGATGTATCGACGGTACTCACATTGGTCTACAAAAACCCAGTAGCAATGAGCACATGTTTTTCAACCGGAAAGGGTTTCATAGTCTCAATGTGATGGTGGTAAGTTCAATATGCGTACATATGTGAATTAAGAATCGCTTAGAATCTTGGAGTGTTCATGTACTCACACATATTTTCTATAGATATGCGATCACCAGTATAACATTAGGGCAATAAACGCCAGATATGGAGGAGCAGCACATGACTCCTTCATTTGGAAACATTCCGAGGAGAGGAAGTCGTTGCAAGAACGGTCTCAGTTGAATCCTAAAAACAATTTCTGGCTTCTTGGTAGGATTAGACATATTAATCATGAAAATATCAACGTTTATTCTTGTATAACCTTATTAAAGGGACTCCGGATATCCGCTTGAACCGTGGTGCATTACACCTTATAGAAGTCCCGGAGATGGTTCAAGTGAAAGCACATTTAACGAGGTCCACTCAAAGGCCAGATGCATAGTTGAACGGACTATCGGCATTTTAAAAGGACGGTGGAAGATCCTAGGCTACGAGAAACGGGGAAGAAAAAGTTGCTATGTTTGCTAATGGTTGCTCGGCTCTACACAATATATGTATGGAATTTAAAGTTCCTTTTGATCAACCCAGCGTTGAAATTTTTGAAGCCAACGAAGTTTGCATTGGAAAAGAAACACAAATTTCTAAAGTGGCACAGAATATTAGAAACCCAGTAAAACATTCACTTGTCAATTAAAACATATTTGAACTCATTCTCATTAAAAATTATACATTTCTTTAAATTAATCGTTTAACTTCAGGTAATGCGTAAATTAATCTCTAGTTAAACTAAATAAGACTTAAAAAAACACCTTTACTCCATATACATACATGCATACATATGTATAATGTCCTGACTATTTTGTTTGATGTTTAAGCATTTCTAATTTCGTTATTTTTATCTCTAAATCTAGTTTTTACGCCTCCATTTGGTGTTTGTACTTAGTTTCTTTCAGTTGTAAAAGGCGCTCATGTATCTCTAGCAATCTGTCAAGCTTAGCTTCCATGTTAGTTCTACCCTCATTTGAAGCTTTAAGATTCTGTTCCAACAGAACTAGCTTGGGGCCAGTTGCTGTTGCTTGTATCTTCTTCTTTGGCACTTCAACATATATATTTTCGTTCTCCGAATCGTCGGCCGGGAAAATTATACACTTTTCACTGATACTGTCCACCATGCTTTCATCGAGTTCTTTCTCCAAATTTTTTGGAGAATTTGACTCCACGAGCTGCATTAACGAAGAATTTCCGAAAATGACCATGCCATCTACTGTCACTTCTAAGCCGCTTGCCTGAATAATATTTTCTTCCGCCTCGGTGATGTACTTCTCCTCGAATAGCCGTCCACCTGATATTTCTGATCAGCATACACCTACAATATATTTATATGAAATTCGTATTTTAAATAGATGGATAAATCATTCAAACAAACTTTTTTCCACGTTTTGCGTCCTTAACAGGTAGTCCCACAGCATTCAATTTTCTAGAAAGGTCCTCATAAAGCCTTATACTCGTTGCC